TTGAAGGATACGACCATAAACTTTATGATTAAGGCATAAACATGCTAAAATTAGGGTTGACATGATGCTAGGAGTATACGTACCTAGCAGGTTTTTAAAAATCATGTTTGATATAGGTTGAGCTTTCAATGTGTTCAGTCTGCAAATATTTTGGAGGCTTTTACTATTGTACTGTGATGTAGCAGAATGGGTTTATTAAAAGCTCACTTTCAAAGTTCTTGGTCTAATATTCTCAAATAGAAATATTCCAGGCTCCAGTGAGGATAGTGGCAATAATAGCAGAGGCAGCAACAACAACAAGAAGCAAATATCTTTTCCTTATTCTGCAGTAATGTCTTGTGAATATTGTTGAAAATGAAAAGATTTCATGTGAACTCTTGTTGGATTTATACAGCTCTTTTGCTTTAGTTGCTATAGTTAAATATGTTGAGTTCTGATGGTCAGTTCTGATGCTATAGTTAAATATGTTGAGTTCTGATAGAGTTTCATGTGGTTTTTGAGACATAAAACATAGGTAATTGAGCAATTTAATTGTATGCAACCAACTATCACTGATATAGGGGCAGACCAGTCACACTTACGACAGAGCAAAGTTCTAGGCACTTCCTTTCTGGGCCAAGAAATTTGGTAATTGAGCCACAGCTGATTAGTGCTAAATGCTTTCCCGTCCCCACTCTTACATGAACTTCAGTGGGCTTAGAAAGAGAAGATGGAGGCCTGCTTTGAGGTATGGTAAACTGAGTGCTGGGGACAAAGAAGATAAAGCCTTGGTCTCCACTCCAGCTTTAACTGTGTAAACATAGCTGCCCCTAGGAGCTCTAAATCTTGATTGATCTTCTGAGTGGGGTGAACGTACAGTTCTAATCAAGTACTTATATAATTTTGGGGAAGAACACATCTCAGATCTCTGCCCTTATGAATAAGCTGCTCCAAAATCACAGGTGGATTTTGCATATAGCTAAAGATATTTAAGCTTTAGGTTAGGTGTGGTGGTTCATGTCTGCAGTCTCAGCACTTTGGAAGGGTGAAGTGAGAGGACTGCCTGAGGCCAGCCTGAGCAACATAGCAAGACCCCATCTCTACAAAAATTTTTTTAAAACAGCAGCTGGCTGAGTCCCAGCTACTCACGAGGTTGAGGCAGGAGGATTGCTTGAGTCCAAGAGTTGGAGGCTGCAGTGAGTTCTGATCGTGTCACTGCATGCCACCCTGGGTGACACAGTGAGATCCTGTCTCTAAAAAAATAAAGGAAAAGAAATGAGACATAATCTTTCACCCTTTAAACCCCTTAATTATATAGGCCCCTTCCAAATTCTGATTTAATTTTGCATTTTTATTTTGTAGTCTTTTCCTTAAAGTGACCCCTTCAAATTGTACAATCTTCAGGTTTCTCAGAAGTTGGATAATTAGTGTGTGTTTGTTTGTTTGTTTGAGAGAGAGTTTAGCTTCGGTGCCCAGGCTGGAGTGCAGTGGTGCGATCTTGGCTCACTGCAACCTGTACCTCCTGGGTTCAAGTGATTCTCCTGCCTCGGCCTCCCAAGTAGCTAGGATTACAGGCGCCTGCCACCACACCCGGCTAATTTTTGTGTTTTTATTAGAGATGGGGTTTCACCATGTTAACCAGGCTGGTCTCAAACTCCTGACTTCGGGTGATCCACTAGCCTCAGCCTCCCAAAGTGCTGGGATTACAGGCGTGAGCCACTGCACCCGGCCACTGTTTTTTCATCATGATTTGACCGTAAATCTGTTACTACAAGTTTAGAATACAGGGTACTTTGCTACAGTATTTTAAGATGTTAAATTAATATTGTAGCTTGTATCAGTAAATTACCTATATTACTCAGTGTTCAGATTTTAGAAACTTTGGGAGAGCTTCAGATTCAGCTGTAAGTACTCTAAGTGAATAAACTATCAACATTAATAAAAGTGACTCCAACAGAGCATTTTACTCTGTAGGAAATGTGGCAGAAAACCTCCTTCCACACAGAACCTTTTTGATAGTTTAAGTTTATATGCAGTGTATGCTCATTTTTATATAACTTCACAACCCAAGGGATTGAAACACAGTGAAGAAAACAGATTAAAGGAATAGATGAGAAACAGACCCACCTAGACAAGGAAAAAGTAACTCAGTGATCAGAGACAGCTGAGAAAAGGCAGAAGTAGCGGCAGTGAAAACATTGAGTAGGGACAAAATGATCAAAACTAAAATTGTCCCTAAAGATTTTACTAGCAAGGTAACAAAATCACTAATTAGAACAGCATCAATTGGCCCTTTATATCTTGGAGAGTAAAATAAGTGATGAGATGGAATTAAAGTCAATATATTTCCTTTTCTAAGTAGGACTTTTATCTGAGGCCATAGACTCTGGTGGGTAAGGGTATAAGTTTTGGAGTTGGACTACTTAGATTTTTCTTTTGTATAATTAACATACAACAAACCTTTTTTTTTTTTTTTTTTTCTTTTTCCTTTCTTGAGATGGAGTTTCGCCCTTGTCGCCCAGGCTGGAGTGCAATGGCACCATCTGGCTCACTACAACCTCCATCTCCCAGATTCGAGTGATTCTCCTAATTCTGCCTCCCAAGTAGCTGGGATTACAAGTACCTGCCACTATGCCTGGCTAACTTTTTGTATTTTTAATAGAGACAGGATTTCACCATGTTCGCCAGGATGGTCTTGAACTCCTGACCTCAGATGATCCACCTGCCTTGTCCTCCCAAAGTGTTGGGATTATAGGTGTGAGCCACCGTGTCCGGCCTAACTGTACATTTTTATAAGTGCCTGGTTTGATGAATTTTGACTGATATGGTCAGGTGTGAAACCATCACTATAATTAAGATAATGAATGTATGCCTCACCCCGGAAGTTTCCTCAAACCCCTGAGTTCCATCCTTCCATCCTTCCCTACTCTTTCCTTCTTCCTGACAATCATTGATCTGCTTTGTATTGCTATAGAAATTCATGTAAATAGAATGATAACATATGTGCTCTTTTTTGGTCAAAATTTTTCAATTTGTTTGAGGTTCTTCCATGCTGTGTGTGTATCAGTAGTTTGTTGCCTTTTTTTTTTTTTTTTTTCTTTTTGAGACAGTCTTGCTCTGTCGCCCAGGCTGGAGTGCAGTGGCGCAATCTGGGCTCACTGCAAGCTCCGCCTCCCGGGTTCACGCCATCTCCTGCCTCAGCCTCCGGAGTAGCTGGGACTACAGGTGCCCGCCACCACGCCCAGCTAATTTTTTGTATTTTTAATAGAGACGAGGTTTCACCGTGTTAGCCAGGATGGTCTTGATCTCCTGATCTTGTGATCTACCCGCCTTGGCCTCCCAAAGTGCTGGGATTACAGGCATGAGCCACCGTGCTGGGCCAGTTTGTTGCTTTATATTGCTGAATAGTACTGTATTGTATGTGTATGCAACAATGTTTATCCATTCCCCATTGATGGGCACTAGAATTGTTTCCATCTTTCTGACTATTACAAATAAAGCTGCTCTGATTCTTCATGTGCAAACCTTTGTGTGGCCATGCTTTCAGTCTCTGGGCTAAATAACTAGAAATAGAATGTCTGGCTCATGTGCTAGATGGGTGTTGACTGCCTGGCTTTAAATCTCTATTCTATCTACTAGCTTATGACAGTGTATTAATCCTTTAGCCTCTTAGGTAATACCTAAAGCACACATTTTTTAGAAGGATTAAATTATATGACTCATGTCAAGCACTTAGCACACTGTCTAGCTTATAGTTAGGTTTTAAAATCTTAACTATGATTTTTTTTTTAAATTAGGATTTATTTTGTTTTATTTTATTTTTATTATACTTTAAGTTCTAGGGTACATGTGCACAACCTGCAGGTTTGTTACATATGTATACATGTGCCATGTTGGTGTGCTGCACCCATCAACTCGTCAGCACCCATCATCTCGTCATTTACATCCGGTATAACTCCCAATGCCATCCCTCCCCCCTCCCCCCTCCCCATAATAGGCCCCGGTGTGTGATGTTCCCTCAGCAAACTATCGCAAGAACAGACAACCAAACACCGCATGTTCTCACTCATAGGTGGGAACTGAACAATGAGATCACTTGGACTCGGGAAGGGGAACTATGATTTTTTTAAGTTTAACAATTTGAAAACTTTAGAAAATTTTAGTGTTAAAATGTTTAAGCTTATATCTCAGGAAAATTTGTTCATTTGATAAATGATTATTTCAATGCACTGCATGATAGTGGATATAAATAAATACTCTGTATTTAAAAGATATATTTACTTGTGAGATGTGAATAATAATTAGTTAATGAAATACTTAGAATGTTAAGCAGACAACCTTTGAAAGGATAGAATGAAATGAGAGATTTCTATTCTAAAAGACTCTATTCACATATTAAAATGCACAGGATGTATAATCAGTTTAATAAGAGTTAGTAAATATCTATGTATATATAGAGAGTCAATGATGGAAGAGGTAATATAAAGAAAATGCAATTTTGAAGCTGCTTCTTTAGTTGGTGCATGGTAATCTCTAGATTGAAAGCTAAAACCACTTTCTTTATTAGCTCTGTTGCTTTGGGGACATCATTTAACCTCTCTGACACTAAGACAATTGGCCTCTGGCTGAAAAGTTTTATGATTTTGTGACAGATTACATGACAAGATGCTTCCTTAACCGTTCTGGCACTCCCTACAACCGAAACATTGAGTAGAAATCATTGTTAATTATGCCCATGGAGAATTTTATGATTGCTCAAGGAGAGGTGTCATTTTTTAAAAGTGCGTTTGTGCAGAAGTCTTCAGCGTGTGACAGGATTCCATGCTGCTACTCTTTTGGTCTGAACACTGAATCAGCTGGGCATCACAGGAGACATAGGTGAGCTATGCCACCCAGGCCATCACCAGTGACAGAGGGTCAGAGCTGAGCTGCTCCCTCCCTCCAAGTCTGCTTGAAAGTAGCCTGCGTAAGGATAGTATGCAGACATATCATATCTATATAATATATATATATATATATAATTTTTTTTCCTTTCAACTGTGGAATAGTACTTAAAGAATCCTCCCTGGAGGAGATGATTTTTCAAACACAAAGCCCAGACAGACCAAAGAAGTATTTTTTTTCTTCTTCTTTATTTTTAGTTTTTACTGTTGTTTTGGATTTTCTTTTCTGCTCAGCACCGTCTTATATGAAATTAACCATCATGGTGGCACTTAAATTGTCACCTGATTTCAGTCTTTCCACTAACAGCTGGATGCTGGATGAACAGATGCCAGCAAGCAGTTGCTATATTATATACCCTGAAATAGTTTTGTCAGGACTATCATTTGTATTTTTCATATTTATTTATTTATACATCTTATTTTCCCTGAGTAATATTCAAAATGCTGACCCCATCATCGGAGAGTAATGATTTAGAAATCCTGCAGTGGTTATAAATTCTGATATAATACATCATAGACTTTAACTACTGAATGATCTTAATGTTGTCTTTTTCTGATATACACTTGAAGAGACACCAACATCTTCAATATATTTTTATCCCTCCCCCAACCTCCATCGCAATGTCACTCCTTACTAGTACGCAAGACCTTAGTTTTTGATAGGAGTTTCCAAGATTGTTTCTAATCTTTTCTATTAAAAATTGGTTATTTTATTTGAGGATTCTTAGAGACAGAGGAAACTTACTTGGCAGTGTCTTATTTAGATCTTGCCTTTAAACAAAGTGGTTTTGTTTGTTTGTTTGTTTGTTTGTTTCCATTCTGACATAAAAAAATAATGTTGGATCCCTAGTGACGTTTTACTTACACATTTATGCTATTCAGTGGATCTGCCTGGGTGGTACATATGTTGACTTCAGCTTGCAGTTATCAAGAAAGCAGTCAGCTTTTCCTACCGAGTTAAGAGAACATGCCCCAATTTGTGGGCAGTTCTTCTTAGCATTCTACTGTGGTATGAAGCACACATTGAATTTTGCTCCTTTCAGTAAGTAGCTGGAATGTTTTCTCTCAAGCAAACTCAACTTCTTATTATCTTTGTTAGAAAAACCATAAAAGTCTCTTTCTATGCAACTATAGACTGACTCTATTTCTTTCTCGTTTTCAAGAAAAAAAAGAATCAGATAGCCAAGAAAGTAAATTGTTGGTTTAATTTCAACATTTCTAAAGTGATAATCATATTTTTAGTTATTACCATCAAAGTTATAAATTATTAAAGGTTTGTGTTTGTGACATTATTTCACTTCTGCATTATCAAAATTGGTTGGCATACAGTAAAAATTTAATTTTCCTTTTGCTTTCTCATTGCTTTAAAATGTTTTCAGGATGCAAATGATTATATTAAAATTATTATACAGTATTCATAATCAGAGTCCTACTTCAAGGTTTGAAAAGGAAACTCAAAATGAAGCCTTGCAACTTTCATTCCTTGGCCGTCTTTAATGTCTGTGGTTTTTTTCAACCTAATTTCTGGAGAAGTAAGTGACCAGTTAGGACGTAGAAATTGCACCAGAAATTCTAACAGAATAGGCTCTCAATGCCAGTCTCTCTACAGGGAAATTTGTTCAAATCGTCAAATTTGCTATTCTTCAGGGTTGTTTTTTTTTTTTTTCTTTTTTTCTTTTATGTTGAACAACTAATAATTGACAAGTGTGACTATATGCTTATATTAAAATTATTATACAGTATTCATAATCAGAGTCCTACTTCAAGGTTTGAAAAGGAAACTCAAAATGAAGCCTTGCAACTTTCATTCCTTTGTGGTTTTTTTCAACCTAATTTCTGGAGAAGTAAGTGACCAGTTAGGATGTAGAAATTGCACCAGAAATTCTAACAGAATAGGCTCCCAATGCCAGTCTCTCTACAGGGAAATTTGTTCAAATCGTCAAATTTGCTATTCTTCAGGGTTGTTGTTTTTTTTTTTCTTTTTTTCTTTTATGTTGAACAACTAATAATTGACAAGTGTGACTATATGCTTAAAACTCAGTGATATTTTCAGCAATGTTCATTTAAGCCAGTTTTGGTTTTTCTGGGGGTGGGGGGTGGTGTGTGTGTGTAAAGCAAGAGAAGCCAGTGAGTATGTTTCCCATAATGCTTGATTCATTTGATTCACTGAGATAGATTTGAGAACCAGCTCTTCTGATCCAAGGAGAAGTAGGTGTATACTTATACTGAGATTTTTCAGTGACCATGGAGATTTTCTGTTAGAGACCAGAGTACTGAATGCCCGTTGCAGGACTGGCATCTGGCCAGTGGCACAGAGGAAGGCTTGTAGAGGGGAAGAGATTCTGCTCCCATCTCTGACTTCACTGTGCTTTTCTTCCTGGCTCACTTTTAGACACATTCCAGTTTGCTCACAGCTTTCACCCCTGCCAGTTTCCTTCTTCCTGGCCTTCTGGCTTCTGCCTCAGTCTATGTTTTCCATGCACCAGCCCTGACTTGCCTTGTTAAATGCACCCTGACCAACTTCTGCCCTGAATTCAATTCCTCACCTTCTCAGGATCAGGCCCTTGAAAGCTACTAGATATTTAATTCTACTCTAGGTTCCCTTGATGTAAGCCTGTATGTACCTTGGGGATGCTGTTTTCACTCATATAGGGCATTATAGTGAATATCACTTCAAAGGAGATATCTGAATCTACTTTCTATAACATAGTTTTATGCCTAAAATGGCTTTCTGATAACTTAGTTGGAAAAGAAAAGAGGACTTCGAGAAAACGTCCATCTAATAGTTTGATGTAGTCCAAAGTATATTGGCTTCGGGACCTAACTCTACCTTTGAATACAAAGTACAGTACAAATATATAAAGGAATCTATACATTCCTTCTTCCTTCCCTATTGAGAGCTAATCGAGTGGTTAATGGTATATAAGATCCGGGAATAAAAATAAAACATTTATTTTCCCCATAGTAACCAATCCTACTTGTTAATAAAATGACGGAAAAGATAAATAAGCAAATAAGTCTTATATGATGTGATTAATTTTAATACTTTGAGGTCATGAACATGGTGGCATATCCAGTAAAATATAAAATGTAGTAGGACTCCTTATTTCCTCTCCATCTGTCCGTTTATGATCAAAGGGAAGTCTTTATAGAGAAAATGATGTATGATTTGGGATTTGAAGAAAGACTAGTTATCCAGGGCATCAAAAGGTACAAGGGAATTTCAGGAAGAAAAAATAGAATATATGGAGGCGTGGAAACATGGATGTGTGTTGAGCATTTAGGAGACCTGAATTCCTTGTGTGCTGCTGCTGCATGGATAGTGTGTCAGAGTAGAAGAACATGTCTAGCTTGGAAGACAGGTACTGTAACCAAATCCAGGTTCCAATGCTCACCTCTCAAAAGCAAGAACTCCAGAAGACAGAGTTGTTCAGAGGAAAAGCAGGTTTATCTGGGGAACCAGCACACTGAGAAGATGGTGGACTATTGTTCCAAAGCACCATCTTGAGTCAGTATGATTTTAGGATCTTTTTAACTTAAGGTCAGTAGGAAGAGGAAGCGGTTGAGATCAAAAAGAAACTGGGTGCCAGTGAGGGTCCCAGGAGCCTGAGAACTTCTTTGTCCTTGGTCAGGTTACAGTGACTCTACAAATCTTTAACAAAACATTGTTGGTTTACACACGTCTCCTTTAATTCAGAGCTAGTTTTAAAAACTACATGATTGCTATTTTTGCATATTATCTCACTGCTCTAAAATTATCCTAGTCTATGTTCAGGAATGGGTAAAGGCCCCTTAAACAAAAATGGAGTTAGTTATGTTCTTTTCTTGCTTCACTGTTACAGGACCAGATGATGGGAAGAGGATTTTCTCATGAACCCTTGTCTGCCCCCATTCCCATGAAAATACACAAAATTACTTGGTCACAATAGTCTAGAAAACTTCTCTGTCTGATAGCAGGAATATACGACTGTAAACAGATATATTCTTAGGAATGTCTTGATGCTGGACATCCAGTACCGACTCATGGAGGAAGACTGTAAACTGTTGAGGGGCAGATCCAGCAACATAGCACTTGGCTCTGTGTGGATCAGAGTTGTTATTTCTCCATAGGTCTTTATTTGAGAACTAATTACCTTACTTGGAATATGGTCACTAGTTTCGTGTGCTTGAGGGTTCAAAGGGAAGTTATAGAGTATGGATGAAAACATTGGAGAAAGTATATCTGGTTAAAGGGAAGGTTTGGAATCTTCCATTTGCAAATTACAGAAAAATCATCTCTCCCTTGTCTCTGGCACCCAGTCCAGAATTCATTGTTCACCTCTTTGCAATTTATTTGGTCACTTGGGATATATGACTGGGAGAAGAAACTGAACATGTACCCATTGTGTGCAAAACATGGAGAACAATGAGCACTCTTACTTGATGACCTTAAAGTTGAGATTTTCATAATAGTCACAGAAACGAGGATATAAGGATTTGTTGGTTTATTTCTAGCCTTGAAGCTCAGGGGCCCAAACTTTCAAATCTAATGTTAGATGGGTGAAACATATTTTGGTCAAAAATCTGTTCTTCTGACATTCACTTACCTGAGAGTAAAAGATATTTTCAGAAATCTAATCTGAATTTAATCTTTCATACTTTAAAAGTGGTTACTTTTAAGGAATCTAAACTGAATATAATTTTCCCTACTTTAAAAGTAGTTAGTTTTAAGAACTAGGAACATACCCTGCCCTGTGACTATTGTAATAGCAGTTATCTATGATATTCACCTGTTCCAATAGCTGATGTTGACACAGCTAAATCACAAAGATATCATTCAATTTTGGTGAGATCTAATACTCAGAGCAAAATCTCTGAACTCTTCTATTCATATTGGAATAATTTAGAATTTTTCCATTATAATCTAGAAATTTTTATAAATCCTCAAAACTAATTATATGCAATTTAGGACACTTGTCACTCATTTTTGATATCTATGGGGAAAAAAAGGCATGACCTACTTAAAAATTCTTTTCGAGTAGAGTTCCATGTAACATGGATTTTAATTCTTGGCTGACCTATCACTCGGATATCCTTTCACATTTACAGTAGTGATCAGAACAGCCAAAACCAGAATGGGCGTAGGAAGGAGCTGGTTGTTTTGTTTTGTTTTGTTTTTCAATGGCGACAAATTTAAAGTTGATTGAACTGATAATTGGATATATTCGCAGTGATCGAATCTTCTCCCTCTTCTCTTTTACCATTTTAAAACACTTTTCAGCCTGCCATCTTGATATAACCTTTATGCAAGTACTTATAAGGAAGTGGAGATGCTTAATAATTATGTAAATCAGGCAGAAAAGATACATCTTTGAAGGAAGAAAGAACTACTAGCAAAACATCTTATTAACAAGTGACCAGAGATGTGGCACATAGTTTATGCAAATGGAATTAATAGTGAAACATGGCAGCAACCAGCTAATTTTTTTCAAAAATGAGGTGGTCATAGTTCATTCTGCTTTATGAGACACACTAAGGAAAAGATGTTTATAGGTGGTTTATGCAATAACCATGCAGTTCTTTTTGCAACATTTTTATATTTGGGAAGAATAGGGCAAAATGTCAAATACTCAATTTCACAGTAGTCTAAATGGCATGCTTCACAGTATCAATACCAATACTGTAGAATATAGGTCGTCTTTTTTTCTCCCATTTTTTTTTAAGGTTCCTTGGTAACAATCTTATAACATCTGAAAAATACTTACCATGGATGCATTTAAGTGATTTCTCCCCCTGGTTATTTGCTGTCGGAACAAAGCCCTTTGTAGAATTCATAGGGCCCAATGTAACTCACATGCAGGATCTTGTAAATAATATAAAACTCAGTGATCCAGGTCTTTGAGTTTGGACCTTTCCCGTTACCCCAGAATCCCAGGTAAGTCAGAATTTGCATTGGGGACAGACTGAAAGAGAAGAATGCTTTCCTGCCTCCAGTGCTCATTCCTATTCATCATGTGGGATTTGATCCTCTACTGAGTGATCACATAATATTATAGAATTGCTTGTCATGTCACCTTGTGATTTAAAAGATGTTGGGCATGGTCTTCTGTAATATGTGTGGGAAAACAGGAGTCATCAGGTCAGTTGTTGGGAATTCACCATCGAAAAGATAGTGGGAGTACAGATAGAACCACCCACAGATTTGGTCTGTCAAATCTTAGAAGCTGCTTGCACATTTAGGGACAGATGTCTGCTAGGCCCCATCATCATTTACTAAGAAATACTCAAGATGTCTAGAGTAGTGTTTCTTAAATAACATTTGGTAAAGTGGTGTAAACCACCAGCCTAAAGAAAACCTGGGATACTTGATAAAAACCCAGATTCCTGGGCACGAACCTATCCTGGTCAGATTCCTGGGTATAGACCTACTACCTTACTAGCTCAGGGGAGACACTGTGCTCTGTAACCTCCATTTAGATTCCGTGCTAGTTAACAATTTGGTGAACATTCCCATCTCTACATATATCTAACATAGAGGGAGATATTGTTATTGTGCTATTTCAAAGTATGCTGCAGATATTATGACATCTCGTCTCTGACTGCTAGAATGCAGAGCATTTTAAACAAATACCTCTGCTACATTTTATACAAGCTATAGTCTTCTAAGCAGTGGTTTCTTAAGTTTAGTGTGCATCAGAATCATGGGGAGGTCTTATTAGAGCACAAATTCTGGACCTACTCCTGGAGTTTGATTCAGTAGTTCTGAGATGAGCCCTAAGGATCTGTGGTTCTGATAAGCTCCTGGATGATAGTGACGCTGCTGGTCTGGGGACCGTACTGGGAGAATCAATGTTGTAGTGTATTAAGATACAAATTATTTTTGGTGAGGACTCAACTGTTTCTCCTCTGGTCTATTGAACTCTCCTCTCTTTGTTCTTTCTTGCCTCAAATTTGTATAATAGAATGAAAGGAATCATACTTTAAATTGTACCACCTGTGTATTTTTATGTCTTGTTCTTGTTGCTTGAGAAAAACATTAGAAGTCATCATTCTATTTTAATCCTTGTTAACCTGATGGGCAAATAATAAATATCTTGTAAAACATCTGATTTCATTGATCACTTAATATTGAATACTTTCATTGTATAACACACAGTCCTCTTTTAATTTGGTTTATAGCTTATCTTTTTTATTGAGGTTTTGGTTTTTTTTCTTGATGTTTTGTAAGAGGGCTTAATAAGTAAAATAAGTCATCCGTTTATCTGGGAAATGTATCCCAGTTTGGCATTTTCTTTGTAACCCATTCAGCTTTTACATTTGCTACTTGAAGAAATCTAGCTTTAATGAAGAAACTAAAAATCATCTTTGCTAAGTGATTCCCTTTCACTTTGTGGCTACTACAGCCTTCTGTTCTTTCAGCCCCAGGGCTTGTGGTATTCTCTCTTATATGTTAGCTATCATTTGGTTTTCAGAGCCTCAGAAACAAAAAGATACTTTATACAGTTCTTCAGATTTGCTGTTTTGAACATAAATGAATTTGTTTTAAAATTCTATTTAAGGACTGGTTTTATCGTTCTTGCAGCTTTAAGTTGTTAACCTATGCAAGAATGTCTTGAAAGAGTCATCTGAAGGTTATATAAGACTACCTATCAAAATTGGTGTTTCCTATACTGATCAATGCTAGAAAATTTCAGAGAATGCTATGAGCAGTGTCACCTGGAGCAGCTGCTGCTTGTGGGAGGTAGTGGCTTGAAATGGTTCTGTTGGGATTTGAATGGACAGAAAGATAGGAAAAGACAATTCTGGGTTGGTTTCTGTTTTCTTACAAGCAAGAGAGGCCTCTTGGAACACAAAGTATATAAAGAAAAATAAATGGCAATGCTGGAATGTGGGCCCATCTGCTCATCTGAAATTGATTTGCTGTGTAGTAACATGCGACTGTACACATCAGGCCCGGCTGACCTTCTGGGCTACTTTCCACACACAAAGGAACACAGTGTGCTTAGTCCTGGATCAAATTTGGCGGTACAATTCCATGATCTCCATGATTCTGCTGGGAGAGAATTTTGCCCTCCTCTATATCTTTATTTCATGTTCACCTGCATTGGCTCAGGTGATCCTACTGTGTAACTACAGAAGACTGTAAATGATATCCTTAGATATGCTGAATGACTGTGCAGGAGTATAAATGATATTTATGAGGAAGTTGGGAGTGCTTTAAATATTGTGAAAATGCTGACTTTGACACATCCAGGATAATGATGCAGAAACAGTAGGCTCTTTGTAAACTGTTTAATGGCAACGATTTTCTAAATCAAAGCAATCTACACTTCCCCATTTACAATTTCATCTCCAACTACTACAGTCTCGTAAAGAGGTTTACTACACTGAATATTTTGCCTTGTTGAATGATTATCTTAGTACCCTGATGCTTCAGATCATTTACATTTTATCTTTCAAAAGCATAGAAATGTTACATGGGGGATGAGGGGAATATCATTTTTGCCAAAACATAGTATTATTGATAGATACAAAATTTCTCTAAGAAGCACATGTTTACAAAATCGTGAGAAGACTTTTTTGTCATAATGGTATTTAATTACCCTAGAAAAGTACCAATACTTACATAAGTGGGTTTGTACGCTTGTATATAGAAAAAATATATTGGGAATCTACACATGCCTTTAGCCTATTGGTTAATGGGTTTGCTGTAGTAAATGCCAAAAAGGATTATACAATGCAACTTCATTACATTTAATGTTTCAAATGTGGCAAAGTTTAATCTATATATTAACTTTTGTGTTTGCTAAATCATAGGCATTTACCTAAAAATACACTTTTCTCCATGTGTGAACTGAAAAGAATGCTTATAATCTAATTATATTTGATTGTAGCCAGTGCTGTTTACATTTTATAAAGCCTATATTTATTACTGACCTGCTGTGTCTTCATTTAATGATTTTCTTCTGGAATTTTCCATGGCCCCTTTTGCTTGCATTGGCAGAGAAAATAACACAAAATAGCAGAAATGTGAAAGAAAAGTGCCTGCTGGAAAATACTTGAGCCTTTCCAAGGAAGCCTGGCGAGAAAAAAGTGTCCTATTGTGTGGTTTGGTTTTGTCATATGGGGCATTTCTAGAAATAAAAATCTTGCTATACTCTGCTTCAAATACATTTGAATAACACATTTCTGTTAGTAAATTTTCTGATTCCATTTTCATTTTAATTCAGAAAGAGGGATTTCTTTTATTCACTAAAGTGATTTTCATCTTTGACAGTGTTGGGCATGGGAAGAAGAGTAAACGTAGCTGTGTGCTCAGAAACACAATATGCCAACTTTATATCTCTGGGACTTTGCTATAAACTTTTATTTTAAATGTTCTGTGTGCTCACAAAAATTTAGAGGATATGAAACACATATTAGACTTTTTTTTTTAAACCTCAAACACTGACTAAAAACTCATGCATGAAAGTGCCTAATAAAATGGAAAGTGCCCAAAGTAAGGAACAGAGATTTTATGATTCCAATACAGACCTGACAGAAAAAAAAAAAAAAAATTAAGGTAAAGCAGAGTCATCTCTTTGTAAAGAGCATCACCAACTGAAAGGAAGAAGATTTGCACACTTAATTCTGGTGGCCTTTTGTGTCTGTGGATAGTCTATCCTGACCTCTCAGGTCATGGCATGTGTTTTCTTTGGAGGAATCTCAAGTCATTTTTAACATGCTGAAATTCTTAGGGAAAAGAATTCTCTGAGTTCAAAAATGCTTTGCTTTACCGACGATGTGTTTCCAGTCTGTATATTCCCTGGGGTAAAAGGAAAATGAACTCTAGCTTTTGGGACAGCATAGGCAAGAACTGTAAGTGAAAGCCATGGTATCATGATTATTTAAACAGTAGGATTGGATGGAGGAAGTCTGTGGAAACAATTGACTTTTCTGTGTGGAAGTGCATGTCTGATTACTGTTTACGTGATAATGACTAGTATATATTTATGTAGAAAGTAATTAAAACTGATTAAGATTCTAAAGGCTTTTTCCTTGAATATGTTTGAAGAGTCAATGTAAAAATATTAGTGATATATGGAACTTCAGAGTCTATTTTCATCTTTAGATATATGGGCTGTTTTCTTCCTTGTTTCAATACATGGTTGCACAGTCCGTATGTGAACTAGAGATGGAACAGGGATAATTGTCAAAAGAAAATGGAGGGGTAATATAGAAGAGAGGAATTTTCTTTGAACATTTTACTTTTTGGGAAATATAAAATGAAATTATACTTATGCACTGTTAATATATGTTATGATATGTATTAAATATTGTATTACATCTCCATTAACCAAAATTTTTATGTTCAGCTATACAATATTTGGTATAATCAAACATCAGAAAAATTGGTACCTTGGCCTTGAGTATGCAATGGGGAATGAGTTGCTTATTTTGACTATAGATAGTAGTGTGTGTGTCACTATTCCGAATATTAATCTCATTATTAGAATTATTACTATGATCATTCTGATAAGGCAGTAAGTGTTCACTGCTCCTTAATATATACATCTCTTTTTTTCTTCTAATGATTCTGTATTTAAGATGTTGGCATTCACAGTAATGATTTTCCCTTTTTCTTTGTGTTTGTTTCTGAGAGGCCACATTGGACCTCTTCAGAGCAACACAATACATCAATGTAGACAAGACAGTTTATACATTAAAGCACAATAACCATTATTCTTTAGTTTAGGTTAATTGAAACTTGGCAGAAGTTGAACTAAAATATAAGGGAGGGGTGCTCACCACCATTAAAAGGATAGCAAAGAACAGCTTAATGTTTTGGAAAATAGCCTTTGAGTCTTGTAATGTGAATGTGATCAACAGGACACATTGATTGACCAGTTAGAATAATTGGTAGGTTTGGAGCAGAAATAGATTGTTTTTGGCAGTGTGCTGGAACAGACTCTGGCTCCATGAGCAGCAGTTGAGATAGCTCATGAGCCAATAATCTACCCAAGAGGTCAGTGGGCTTTTTAGGGTGTGTATTTAGTCATTCATGTTAAGAAGCTTTGTAGCCAAACCAAACTTTCTTTGGTATATTTTGAGGATTTTGCTTAAATGTGTGATGAACACATGACATTCACCCTTCATCTTTAGTGCATACTCAAACTGAAAAATGTGTGTGGTTACTTTCATTGCAGCCAGCATGGATTCTCTGGGATGAGGTGAGGGTTCCCCTTGGAATATCAAGATAAAGATTTTGTTAACCATAATTGCAAAACCATAATCTTTTCCCCCAGTATACTTTGAACTGATTCTTTTTTTTTTTTTT